AACGAAAATGCAAGAAGCAAATAAATACAATCCACTGCGGTTTTTATGACGAGATAAACATTTTCAGGAGCACGTCCAGCTAGCCATGCATACTTCGCTTGGTTTACTGTTCTTTAGGCAAATTAGTATAAAACATTTTTTTGTTTTTTGTCGCATAGCTCTACGAGTAAGGACTCTATGAGGATTTCAAGATATCAAAATTTTGCTGTGAATGCAAAGTTTTTGAGAAACTGAATGTTTCATTGTAGTTTTAATTAAAAGAGTTTAGCGGAGGCAACTCCTTTTTTGAATGTGTTATTTCATTGCGGTGACCTCTCTACTCAGCACCTTCCCGTGATTAAATTCCGCAAGGGTGTTAGCAGTGTAGTTATAACCAATTGCTACACTTCAGATATTATCTCAGTTCACTGCAATTCGTCCTCGATTTCAGGACACAATTAATCTGTAAAACTGTTGGAAACCACAAATTTTACCACATACACACACGCAGCGCCATGTCGTTAACCATTACAGGTGAAAGGCGTTACGGAGATACATTTTTAAAGTTTTTAAACCGAAGCCCTTGTGATCATTGCAAGTTTAGCTTGTTAAAGCAATCCATGTTAATATTTGACCAACCATCGCTCTTTTTCATACCTAGTATATAAACATAAGTAAATTTTCCCGCTGAATAGAAACAGGGAATTTGTTATCTGACAAGTTTTAGTCAGCAAGTTTTCCTTCCATGATGTTGTCATGTCCAAAAGCTGTGACATTAGTTTAATTCTTTTTCACCGAAAAACTCCTGAAAGAAGAAATTCTGTAGTCTAAATAAAACTTTTGTCCTTTTTATCTCTTTCGCTGATGATCTGCCAAGGACGCGAAAAGAAACTTTTTTGTAAGCCTTCTCTGGTGTTGACAAGTCTTTATTTGTCGAAGTAAATACCGAACAATTTTTCCTTGACAAATGCATTTGCCAAGGCAAACTTGCTACTTTAGATGTGGCTTTAACGATTGCCTTTGGCGTTCCATAGACTACAAACATGTCACAATGTAGTAACCTTGTGCTTTCACCACACCCTTAGGTTTGTGGTTTTAGATCCGCCGCGGCTTTTATTTCGCATGCTCTCCGAAACTCGAAACAAAATCGAAAACGTTTCGGCCTCGAAACTTTTCGGGTTTATGAGGCACATTTGATATCTTCTCTTTATCAATAATAATCGTTATTCATAACAATGTGCCCTCCCCCCCTGCCGAAAAATCCTCCTCAGGCCATTTTCATGTGACATCGAGGTCGGTTCATTGGTACATGTGAGCATCATTACAAACAAAGGTGCGCTAACAGGCAGCCACTGAAGTTTCTTCCTCATCGTTTGATCTCTACTTTACAAAAGTTCCACAGCATTTTCAGCCAGTGCGCTTGTAAGTACAGCCTCCCGAATAGTGCTTTATTTTGTTTCTTGCAATAACCCTAATTCAGGACATTATTTTACTCGCCTCATCGACTCGTATGGTTTAATACTCGAAATTTTGCTCCGTCCTTAATTTTTTTTAAGTCCTTCGTGGCCTGATTACTAAGGTCATAGTTGTCATGACCGAAATTCCAACAACCGGGCTGGTAAATTTTTCGTCTGGAAACTTAACCTCGCTTACAAGACGAACATTGAGAGTCGTGGCTTGTTCAACCTGGAACTGGAAAGAAACGGGCCGAAATTTCCCGCATGAGTGGCAAGTTCAGCTCGGTGATCGGGATGTAACCTCCCGCCTTAACAAAATTTTAAATTCTTCTCGCCTCCTTACGCGTTTTACTTCTGTAGCATTTTAAAGGTAATGTTTAGGTTCGAGTGAGGCTTCCCAGACCCAGTAATTAAGATGCTACTAGAAACTGAGCACCGAAGCCTCATCGTGGCAGCGAGGCAGATTTTAATCTGTTCTTTTCCTTTCCTCTTTATCAAAATGGTTTCTTCGCATCGCAGACTGATCCGCGTCTTTTTTGGTTATTTGGTTTCCCAAAGAATATCTTAATATTTCAGCACTTATCTTATTTTAGTTTGTAAGTTTACCTGTGGTCGCCACGGAGTTTTTAGTCCAAAATCGCAAACCAGGAGCCCATTTGAACCGAAGGTAATAGGTTCGTTTTTGTTCCCAAAAAGAATACGTTGTTGTGATACGTAATTGGGTCTTGAGCAAACCTCTCTCCCGTGTTGAACTTCAAAGCTAAACCGCACTCTCACTAGGCCAAAAATAATAATTAAACAGACATCATTTGACACAAGAAGAGAAATTCAACCAGTAAAAATCCATTCTCTGCCGGTGTAAAAACCAAGCTGTGAAGTTACAGGTGAATAGTCACTCCCAGTTATTTAGGTGTGGTGCGTTTGACGTAACCTCGTGATGCTCATGACAAGGCGAACTCTCATGGGTGCGGTAAAAGTGAACTGCACCTCCAAAGTCAACTGACCACCCTTGAGTATAGGTGTGGTCAACATAACATCGACCCACTGGACTGTAAGATGAATTTCATTTTTTTTTTTATAGGATCTGATCGGTGTGCACTGTTCACTACCTTTATACAATCTATTTTCCCTTTTAGTTCTTATGCTTAATGATTATTTAGTTTACTTAGAGACTCAAACTACTTTTTCCATATACTTTGATGACAAACACGGCCAACCGTGAAAACCGTGAAGACGGCCAACCGTGAAAAATCGAGAACATGAACTGAGCCATATCGAACGAAAAAGAATTTTTTTCCGAAATAAATTATCACTGCTTCTTCTCAAGATACTTGAGTACATCGGCTGTTCATTTATCGCGTGATTTCCATCCAAAAATCCTAAACATTTCTGTAACACCTGGCTAACGTCTTATCATTCGTTTTCAAGAGGTTTTTTCACAAGTTGTCTTCGATATTTAGAGAGCATAGACCCTCTACAACTAGTTAAACAATACAAGAGACATGTAGTGTCTAGAACTTCGTCCCGGCTTTTGAAAATTATGTTTCGGAGTTGAGAGGTTGTTATCGCCCCCCTTACGGATTTTTGCTTTCATGTCTCGTTTCTTCGGAAACATGATGCAATGTTTGGGTTGCAAAGACCGTGAGTTTTTTTTAAGTGTTGAAAAGTAAAAATTTCGGCACTTTCGATTGAATACCATATCTGGAGATGAAGAAAACTCTCTGTTCCACCAAACATCCGACATCATGTGAGAATTTCACATTAATAAAGTCAGAGTTTAAATTTTCCCTTTTTTTCAGAAACATGTGGGAAAAATTTCATAGATTTTACATTCAGGAAGACAGGTTGTTCACGTGGCAACCATATGTATCTATTTACATTCGCCAAAAGTGTTCAAAGGGCACCACAAAGGTTGACGTTTAGACCAATCACAGATAAGCATTTCCTGCCATTAATGAATATTTAACCTCCTAGTGATCATAAAATTGTTTCCCGCCAAGAGGTAGCTAAAAGTTTGTTTGGCGGTGCTTTTGTCTAGGAAGGAGGATTTAGGAGGTTCTGATATCAAATTTCTTGTCTGGTAAGTTCCAGTGCTAGCTGTTCTGATGCAATGAACGAACAGGAATCGAAGAGTTCTCATTTGTTTCAATTCTTTATATACTTCTGTCCCAATTTCGATCAAACTGCCTTTTTGAATGAAATTTTTCGTTTTCAAGCAAGACACGTGGAAACCCGATTCTTTTCAGGATTCATAGATTGACCCAGCTGATGTAAGGTTTTATTATCATTCCTTAGGAATCTAACAAAGCACAGCCGTGTAAAAGCTCAGTCTCTTTATAAGCTCACAAGTTAAGTCGTACAAATGGCATCGAAGGAAGATGAAGCGGCCGCTGCTCAGCCGCTAACCAGCGATCATGACAAAGAAACGAACGGAGATGCTCTCCCAGCTGTTGAAGTCAATGGACAAGTTGGCCTTAAAAAGGAAGTCACCCTTCTAAATGGCATTGCTCTTGTTGTTGGTGTGATTATCGGCTCCGGAATTTTCATCTCACCCAAAGGTGTCCTCAAATGGACTGAATCAGTCGGAATGAGTTTGGTCGTCTGGGCAGGATGTGGTATTCTCGCTCTCCTTGGCTCCCTCTGCTACTGTGAAATGGGTACCATGATCCCTAAATCCGGTGCTGAGTATTCTTATCTCTACGAAGCCTTTGGTCCTCTACCAGCATTTCTGTACAGTTGGACGCTCGCTTTGATCATTCGTCCATCTTCACTCAGTGTCGTGGCTCTAACCTTTGCACGTTATGTTAGTCAGCCCTTCTTCCCCGACTGCGAAATCAGTCCGATTCCTGTCAGAAAGATCTTAGCAGCAACATGTTTGGGTGAGTATGATGTCCTTAGGGCTACCTTGAGGAAAAAAAACGTTAATCGTTAGTAAATTGCGATAAAACGTAACCTCTGCTCTTTGATATAAGTTTTTCTTATTGTGCTAGTGCGATTGCGATGTGCATACATTAGAAATCATTTCTAATCGAAATCTTCTGGAGTTTAAAATTAGTTACTTTTCGTAATCCTGGGCTTTACTACACTAGGACCATATCGTCGATCATGGTCTTACATGTCCTTAATGTACCTCGTGGTTTTTTATTTACACCGAACGACTATTGCATCAGCTTCGAAACGTGGCCTCTTTTACCTAATTTGCATTTGAAAACGTTTTGTCGAAAGGGTGTCAAATGCTTTTATGTGGGTGGATAATTGCCGACCTCCAGTAGAATTTTTATTAGGTGTGTCAACGCTTGTATTGAGAGAAGAAGGGGTAATATAATTGAGATGATTTTGAAGTGCAGTGTTTAAAGGTAATTTTTTTAAGGTTGAGTGGTCATGGCTATTGTTTCTGCCAAATATCAAGACATTAATTTTCCTCTCACGTCAGAGATGAAATTGTGGTCAGATGAAATGTCAATGAAGAGAACAATACTATAACAAACCAAAACGCATAAAAGCTGTCAGAAAATGCCTTTGTTTTAAATTTTTACTACATGGACAAGACATGTGTTTAAAACCATCAACATCTGAATGAAAGCAGTGATGCATAAGGAAAATAAATCAATAATATGAAGCTACTGTTCTTTTGCTTCAGCTGCAGGAAGAATTCTTTTGATAATGGTAATAGGACCATGTGGAGTCCAATGTGGTCTGTATTCACACGAGTGGTTAACAAAATCATACAACTGCAAAGCAGGAGTCCGATTTGTCAATCACAAGTATTGCTACAGACAGAATTGGACGACACAAAGTCCTGTTACCAATTAATCAAAACTATGACAAAATTTGAGAAAGAAGCTAGACAGCGGTAATACAGTTTCATATCAAAAAAAAAAAAAAAAAAACACTTGTGTCCACTTAGGCATGAAATGTTAACTGTCTCTTTAACTGTCCTATTACACTGTCCAATTACAAGCATGATGTTTACACTGTCCTTTTGGTGCTCAACTTGAGCTGGTGATAACCAATCACATTCAAGAATTTTGTTATAGTTTTCATCATTAAAGAAATTGTATTAATTCAAGAGCTGAATGAAATTCAGGGCAAAAACTGCAATATTCCTTGCTGTTTATAGACGGATCTAGTTATTTTGAAAGACCTTAATTTGCTAGATGTAGTTGCTCTTATTTGTTTTTCTCTTGAAGTTCATATGATATTCTTATCAAACTCTTTTCTCCTTTGAAAAAGCATATAAGTTCAATTAAAAATCATAAACAGAGCTACAAGCATCATTTCAAGCTGAAATAGTGCCTATGCAAGTATGAAAAAAGTTAATTGCATCAAAAAAATTTTAAGAGTTTTGTGTGCAGCCTGAGAGGCCAACTTGTTATGGCAATATCATTGTTCTTAGATAAACATCAGCATTTACAAAGAAAAAACTCTAATCTTTCTCATTATCTTTGTTTTAGCTCTGACTATGTTTATAAATTGTGCGAGTGTTAAATGGGCCACACGCATTCAGGATTCCTTCACTTTTGGAAAACTTATTGCTCTTGCAATTCTGATCGTGATTGGCCTCATTGAGGTTGGATCAGGTAAGAATAATTTTGTATCAAACCTTTTTACACCCTAACATCAGTATGCATATTCTCTTTACTGTTCTTTACACAATTTGTAAGGTGCTGACAAGGAGAATTTGTTGAACAATCAAGAGCTTCTTTAGTTGGTGATCATTTCCTTGATTCTCATGACTGTAATGTTTTTTTTCAGGTGTTATTGTAGAGATAAAAAAAAAAATTAGATGTTAGTCACTCTTAGTCACCTTAACTACAAACAGTTTAGCTTCTTGATTTTATTCCAAGCAACTTGAGTTGAAATGTTTTTTTTTTCTGTTTTATATTCTTTGTATGAGATTGAGGACCACACAGGAACTGATGACATGATTTCTCTATAGGTAATCTTCAAAACTTTAAGGGATCTTTTGATGGAACTACTTCAAACTTGGCAAATATTGGATTGGCTTTCTATTCAGGCCTCTGGGCTTATGATGGATGGTATGTTTTTCTGTGGAACTTTCTTTGTGTGAGCATTTTTACCATGGAAATACTCTTAACTGATTGTCATGTTTTTGTTGAACTTGTTTGTTGATTGGTTTCAATTTCCTCTATTCTGCAGGAATAGCTTAAATTTTGTCACTGAAGAGATGAAGAACCCAGCTAGGTAAAGAAAGCCATTCTTTTTTTGCAGCTAATCTTGCTTAAGTTACATGTACAGTATCAAGGTAAAGTGAGCAGTCAAGCCAAACAGCTTGCCCAGGTTTTCATGGCATGAAGTAACTAGGATTACTAGGTAGGGTTGTTTGTCCATCAGAGGGTACCACCCTGCATTTGATCAGGTTCTTCAGACTGTTTACCAGTACCCATCTATACTCCTGGGTGGAGGCACTATGCATGTGAAGAGTCTTGGTCACGAACACAACACAATGACTTGGTCAGGTCTTGAACCCAGACCTCTTGACTCAGAGTTCGGTACACTAACCTTTAAGCCATTGCATCTTCCTGTATATTTATTGAAATAGAATACAGTTGAACCTGTAGTAGGCAGCACCATACTAATGATTACCCTGTATTAAGTGGTCAGTTTTCAAAGTCCAAAATTTTTCTCTCTTAGTCACTGTAATTTTTGCCTCTATCAAGTGGTCACTTGTATTAAGAGGTCATGGTCACCCTTTACTGAATCTCAATGGTTTGTTTGTATTTTCCTCCTGGCCTGTATTGAAGAGTTACTTAATGGCATTATACATGGCATTATTCAGTGGATTTATTTTGTACAAATGGAAAGGAATATATGTAATATTTTTTTCTTGAGTTTGATTACTACATGATTGTCACACAATAAGCTTTACTCTAAGAGGGAGTGAATCATTGACTTTTCTAGGAGGATGGTATAAAAGGAATCTCTGAAGTGGTTTCATTCATCAACAATATTATTTTTGTGATC